AGTCGACACAGTGCAGTTTATACGGATATGGACTGTCCTGCAGCAGCAGAGAAATGCAGTGCCAGCTGTCATGCTGATAGTGATCTATGGTGTCTTGCATATAGCAGCAGGAAGTGATCATCTGCTGTTCTGCTAATCCTCTTGCATCCAGACCCATGTTCCCGTGACCATAAAATTCTTTATAGTACTTGCTTGTAATAAAAAATAAATATACAAAAATTCAAATTCAAATTTAAGATAAAACAACTTGTATAATCAAATTATGTCTTAGAAATTTGGTAAACATAATTTTACATTACCTTGTAATAATAATTTTAAGCTTTTATTTAAAAAGAAACCAAATTGAAAGAAAAAGTCTTTGGCAGTAAATTTTCATAATTAAATTTAGAATAATTGTACAGTCAAAAGTCTTTAATTCAGGACTTCGGCGATTCCGGATTATCGGTTTTCCAGATTATCGATCATCAGTTTAAATCTGGTAATATGGCATGCAGAAATTATAAAATTAAAAATATGAAACCATAATTTATGAAATAAGGAGCAATTATGATTTAAAGGTATCAAAATTTACAAAAAAAACAAAACAAAAAACAATATTTATTTGTTTGCTTTATTAAACATTTCTGTCAACACGCCAGAAAACTATTTGACGTGTATTCATGATATTTATAATGACGAGGAATTTGATTTAAATCATATCAAAAAGGGAGTACATCGAGATGAAATACTAAATTTAGTAAGGAATTATAAGCCGAATAAAATAAAAACATCTGCCCTGAAGATAAGGATAGTGCTGACAGGTCAACTTCCAGTTCATTGCGCGCAGCGACGTTTCCCCCCTCCCGCAGAGCAGTGTGAAATTGATAAACAGATTTCAGAATGGTTAGAGAAACAAAGGATATGCCTTTATCCATTTTTTGAAGCAATTCCACTTTTTGTTCGATGGACATCGAAGCATGCTTTCGCTTTCTAGATCCTTTGGCAGCTCCAGAATCGGAAATTCTTTTTGACATAATCGAAAGTTCAAGCTTACTTTTATAAAATTGCTCTAACAGTCTGCAAAAAATAATAAGCCGGATCCAATTAGAAGATTAAGGAACAACACAATCTGCAACATTAACTGAAATAGATAATTTTAGCCTAGCTTGTACCGTCCGTTATACATCAAACGCGCATGCGTAAATGCATTATGCGTTTACGCATGCGCAGAAAGTTTGTAGCTTTGAGGTCCGGATTATACATCATTCCGGATTATGGACGTCCAGATTAAAGACTTTTGACTGTAATTGTTTTGTCAAGGCTTTTTTAAATATTTCATGTAATATTAAAACATAAAATTATGACTACATCCATTAATAATTGTGCACAATCATAACATTTTTAAAATTTTTACAACTAATTCTCAATCCATTTAACACAATTTAAATAGTTTTATTAGCATTATGCTTTTTGCTATTACTAAGGTATTTCAAATTGAAACTAGATGATCCCGTAGCTTTCTCTAATACCCACCTAACCATATTTTGGGGCAACCCACATTAACAAATTGATGTATGAATTTTCACTTGTGATTAGTGGGATGCTTGCTGCAGTTACTTCTAAATAGCCTCCTTTAAAGGCATTTGCCCTCTTTGAACTGCTCAAAAACATTCCATTTATAGAAAAAAAAATTACATTCATTTTATATTTTTCCAAAATAGCATAATGAAATTGCGGAAATTTTAAATGACATTTAAATGTAAATAATAAAGTCCACAGCATATTTAACAATTTTGTTACATTGAAAAATGAATCTGAGTAAGCTCAAATGAAGAAAATAGTTTTGAGATTCTGCAGACTAAGTGCTATTAGGAAAAGCGGAATTGCAAATAGTAATTTTCTGGGGCATATACTTGAAGCACATTAAACACAGATCAACATCCTTGGACCTACTATAAGGCTGAATCTGTAAAGCATTAATTCGCTTTCAAGATTTAAAGGACACTTAATTTTTTTTTTTTTTTTTTTTTTTTAAAGTCTGAATATTGAGGTGACTGACGAAATTCCTTAACCAGATTAGCTTTGAATTAAAGTAGTAATGCCACATTTCATTTCATAGGACGTTAGAACTTTCGAACATGCAAATGGGCAAAACACGCTTAATTGAATTTTATAAGTACACCGAACTTTAAATATGGGGCTATTCTCTATTGAAGTTCCATGAGGGTGGCTAAAGTTTAACTGTAATGATTCGAGGATTAATGATTTTATGACTTCTCAGTTCTTAAACTGTACACATAGAGTGACAGTTATGTAGATGGAAATGATGGACTTTCAGACAGATAAAGCCAAATTCAACATAATTTTTATTATTGGATAAAGCCTTTTAAAGGATAATGAGAAAAAATATGTTCACTAAGTTAATGTTGCAACCAATGTCCAATGCTGTAATTCTTTATGTTAATTAAATACAATTGAACACAGAATTGCACTTCTGTGCTTATGTTAATGCCAGAAATTTGCAAATTCGTTGATTGACAATGTGGTGTACAAAAGATGCATGTTGAAATTCATGTCTGTAGTACAGTTTAAAGTGATTGTTGTTTCTGAGAGTATTCAGTAGTTATGGTTCAAAGGCATCATTTAAGCAAAGATCAAAAGTGGCGAATAATTGGTTGAATCGAGGGAGGTCAAACACAAATAGAGGTCAGCTAAGATATGAATATCCTTCAAAGTGCCATATCAAGAGTTTGGAGCTGCCTTTTTAAGTACTGGATTAGTTAATGGACAGCCTGGTCAAGGATGACCAAGAGCAACAACTGCATCAAAAGACTGTTTTCTGTTGCTGCCGTGCTCAAAGAAACCAAGAAGCGACTACAAGAGATTTGGTTTTAGACCTTCAGGCTGTAACTGAAACTTCAATTAGTCATTCATCTCCTGTATGAAGGTTTAATGAGGTTGGATTGTATGTGAGATAACCAATGGTTTGTGCCTCACTCAGTTCAAATTTCAGAGGGGCCCATTTAAACTGATGCCATCATCCTGGAGCCAAGATGATTGGGTCCAAGTATTGCTTACTGATGAGTTCAAATGTAGTCAGAACAATGATTCTAGACATGATTTGATCTGGAGAGAGGAAGGAACAGGAAACTTGCTTTTTCTTGTCCGTGAAATACACCGTTTCCGTAAGTATGTGTTAATGGTTTGGGGAAGAATCATGAGAAATGGCCTTACCGAGCTTCATATCATTCAGAGAGGTTCTGTAACCACTTGGAGGTATGTGAATGAGGTATTGGAATTCCAAGTTAGACTGTTTAGGGGTGTTGCAGGCTCAGGGTTTTTCCTAATGGATGACAATGCTCGGCCTCATCGAGCATATGTAGTGTCAGAATACTTTCAGACAGAAGATATCACTCAAATGAACTGGCCACCTTACTCACCTGACTTGAACCCGATTGAGCATGTGTGGGATGTCTTAGGGAGCCGAATTTAAGAGTGCCAATTTCCTCCCAGACCCTCCAGGAGTTGAGCACTTTTAGAAGAGTGGCGTGCAACTGCACGAGACTTGATCAACCCTTTGTTAAAGTCTATGAAATCTGGATGTGAAGTATGCATATCTATCTTAGGTGACAATACACCATATTAAAGAAAAATGTTTTCCGCAAGAGGCAACTTAAGTTTTCTATCATTGTACGGTTTCTATAAATTTGATTTTAATTTCAGTATATTGTGAATAATCAACTGCCAAGCATTGTAATTTATGTTAACTAATGTTTTTGTACAAATTTCTATGAATAACTTTTCATTCATTAAGTACATTTTATTTCTGTCATTATCTTTTAATTTTGATGATCAGTGTATTTGCTTCACACAGAATTATCAGTGCAATAGGCATACCCAATTTTAAAACTTAACCCATCTTCAAATAACGGATGATACAACAACCCGAGCGGCAAGTACAAGCTAAAGCAGGAAAGATGAGCAAAAGAGAGTGTGTAGTTAGATTACTGCATTATTTAGAGTAAAATGTTACATTAATCTGATTAGTTAAGAATGGTATGCAATGCAGGGTTAAGATGACATTAATGTGGAGTAGTTTTGAGATAAGACTTGGTTTTGAAAAACTATTACTATTTTTAGAACAGAAACGAGAGACTAGCCCAAATTAAAAAGAGGAATTATAAGGGGCTATTGTTAATTTAAAATAGAATTCAGAGTTACATAGTTTTTTTATCTTGCATACATGTTTATAAAATGCAAAATTAATATATTTAATTTATTCATTTAAGTTTGGAAGTGCATTTTATTTTGTATTTATTAAAAGTATATATATATATATATATATATGGATGGATGGATGGAGAAGTAGAGTCTATAATTTTCTCACTTGTTGAAAAGTTGGTAAATGCATCAAAAAGGTCAGTGTGTATGTTGTATTGAAGGGCTGTAGTTATTTAGAGAAACATGGGTTTATATGAATAGGCTAAAATACTATTTTGTTAGGTGTTCTGTATTTATCATGTAAAACTATATATTATCAAACTGTGGTTTTATCAGAAGGGTTGAATTGTAATTTATCATTAATTAGCAATACATATTTTGGACATAATAATATTTTACCTACCACGAGACTCATACTGTTCATAGTTTGTTTCCAAAGGAAGTCTTTCACGGTCAAGGAAGTTAAGCATATAATTCAGGAAAAGTTGTTATGGGAGCACAGAAGTATATATTGTAAAGTAGTTACCAAACTATTATTCCTGTTTAAAATCATGAATTTTAAGAGTGTACATGATCCCAAACTCTGCTTTTCTTATCCTTTGATGCCACTTTTAAGTAGTTTTTTTGTGAGTAGTATATAGTTATGAATTAAATTGGTTCTTGTAGCAATTTTACATGTAAACACAAAATGTTTTCTACATATTTTTATGAGTATTAATTTATTGTCTTGGAAGCAGTGCATTTTTTTAGCTTTATTTTTACTCTAATTTCTTGCTTTAATTATCTAAAATTACTTTTAGGGGGATTTTTTGGACCCAGTTCTACTTTAAGTTCAGCGAGGCATTACCTCCATGGTCTTGCTCATTTAAAGCCAAAGAAGCTTCGTAAAGCACCTCAACCTGAGCAAGCACAAATAGTCTTTGATATCATAAGCAAAGGATTGAAGTAATGTTTATTTATATAATTTTTTATGTTTTTTATTATAATAACTTGATTTAATATTTATTAAATCTTTTCCTTATTTTTAGGGATTGCATTGCTGTGACTCAAAATGAAATATCAAGTTTTAGAATTGCATTTGATAATGTATCAGTGTCTTCTCTTCAAGTAAGTAGCCATTGGCATCTAATTTTTCAAAACTGTAATCTTAAGAATAAAATTATTTTCCAACTGTTTAACTGTGCTTGAGTTTATAAATGAATAAAATATTTGTCAATGAAAATAAAATAATGCTTTTATGTGTGTATTATTTTATAGTGTAGTTAAATGCTTACAAAACATTATGAAATTTTGTCTTTATTCGCTCCTGACTACAAATTATCTTTATAATTAGAACTCTGTTTCTTCAAATAATGTTAATTCACATTTAAAATCAAAAATAATCTTTATGATCGTTTTTCGTAAATGTAAACAATTCTTGGAACAACAGCATCAACAATCTTTTGTTGCCATTCCAAGAACGACAAAATTGAATAATCTTTTTGTTGCCATTCCAAAAACAACAAAAAGCAAATAAAACAGTATTAATTAGTATTTAAAATTTCTGTACAAGTTCAAGCTGCAACAATACTCCCTTTCCAGTAACTAAGTTATGGTAGAGAATATTATTATGACCTTTAAAACACACTATTTACAAAAAATATTATTGATGCATGTAAATGCTAAACCCGAAATCGCACAGGGGGTTTTATTGTTCATCTTATTCATGATTTTTTTGCAGGAAACTTGTTAATTTTAGAAGGTAAGTCTGTTGGAGGTTTGACAGGCTGTCTTTTTGACGTTGTTGGTTGCTTCGTAGTAACATCTGGGGTTTGCAAGAAATATGCAGGCTTTGATCTATCAATAGACACTGTAACATCTTTGTGATTGATAATTACTGTAAAATATTTTTCTTTTCTGTCAACTACTTGAAAAGGACCATCTTAAGGAGATTCTAATAACTTTTTAACTCTGTCTTTGCCAATAAACACAAGTGATGTTGTTTTTAAGTCTTTAGGGACGAATATTTTTTTGACATATGTATCGGCTACTGTTCTTGGTTCAGTTTGTTCCATAGTTTTTTTAGTTGCTTGACAGAAATATCAGGTCATGTAGTAGTTGTGCTATCTTGGAAAAATTTTCCAGGTAATCGTATATTTTGTCCATAAACAATTTTAACAATGGTTTATGCAGTCTTCCTGCATAGCTGTGCGTAAACCAAGAACAGTTGGAAGTGTCTCACTCCAGGCCAGGCTATGGTGCGCCATAAGTGCAGTCTTGAGAGATCTATGGAAGCGCTCGACCTTCCAGTTTGCTTGATGGTGGTAAGCCATTGTATGTGGCAATTTTATTCCACACATTTTTGATAGGTTGTTGAACAACTCTGAACTAAACTGTGCTCCACGATCTGTGACTAGGTGACATGATGGCGTCTCAAACATTAAATCCAGTTAGAATAAAATGCTTTAGCTACTGTGTTTGCTGAAATGTTGTTAAGTGGAATCACTTCCATCCAGTTAGAGTACCGGTCAACGCAAGTGAGACAGTAAAATATTCTCATGTGATGGTGGTAGGGGTCAATTAGATCAATATGCACATCACAAAATCTTTCCAAAGGCAGTTGAAAATCATCAAAATCGATTTTGTGTGCTGATTAATTTTACTTTTTTGGCAAGCCTTGCAAGATCGAGTCCAAAGCTGCACATCTTTACGGATACTTGGCCAAATAAATTTAGACGATAAGAGTTTTACAGATGACTTAATGCCAGGATGGGCTGCATTATGCATTTGATGCAATATTTTCTTGCGATAACTGTCAGGGATGTATGGTCTGATATTATTCGTTGAAGTTTCACACCACAAAGACTTCCCAGGAGGTAATGGATACTGCTCTAAGTTCAGGAAATTTGCTGATTCTTCAAATTTTGCAATTCTGCATCCATAATTTGTTCGTCTGTAATTTAAAAAGAGCTGTGCAGAGCTGTAAAAAGAGCTGTGCAGGATCTTTGATAGTTTTATTGTCTTCAGACATATTCACTTTAAAATGAAAACTCCAAGCCACCAGTTATTGGCTCCTGACTACAAATTAATCTTTATAATTAGAACTCTGTTTCTTGAAATAACTTTAATTCACATTTTAAAATAAAAAATAATCTTTATTATTGTTTTTAGCCAATGTAAACAATTGTTAGAACAACAACAACAACAAATTTTTGTTGCCATTCCAAGAATGACAAAATTGAATAATCTTTTTGTTGCCATTCCAAAAGAAAAAAAAAAAAAAGAATATTAATAAGTATTTAAAATTTCTGTATAAGTTCAAGCCAGAACATCTTCTCTAAGGTGCATGTTTTTTTAGAAATTAAAAAAAGGCATAAGTGAAACATATTTGCAGAAAATTACAAAAGGTTTCCATCTACTGAACATAATTGTGTAAAAAGCCTTTTGAGAGTGATTTAAATTCAATATTGTTATTTTATCAAAAAATTTCGCAAGTATAATGCTGCACACATGAATCATACTATCATTTAATTGAACTAGCATAATGTTACAAGAAAATGTAACTCAGGCTGAAAAATAACATGTTGAAAAATGAAACACTATGACTCAACTGAAAAATTAAAATTACATTTTTGAAGTTATCATATTTTATGCCTTAGATAATGTATTGTCCAGCTTCTCTATGATAGCTTCCCAGCAATGCAGGTTTAGGGTTGCCATAAAATGGCAAGGAGAGATGGGGTTGCCACATTTGGCGTATTTGGTGACAAAATTAGCGATATGATATAAACGGATGCATTAGATGTATTAAACAGAGTTAGCCTAAAAGAAATAGGTAGATTAAGTAGATTGTAAGAAGAAAAGTGTCTCTTTTTATCAAGTAACATTTAGTACCATTTCATGAAGTTTATGACTATCCTCCTTTCACATGCTTTTGTGAAATCAGTGTCAAATCAGCAGTGTTGCTATAAATTGAGCATTGTGGATAATCATGGAATATATGAGAGATTGAATGTCTTAAGTGCATTGTCTTGAAAAAAGTGCATATTCTTTTTCCATGAAACAATAGTGTTAATGATAATGTAGCTAGATACTGTATGTGAGTGGCTGATTAACAAAGAATATTTAACAATAAAAATTTCATATTTGTCGAACGATGCATTTCATTGCCTACTTATGGGGGATATCATAAACCAGTTTTTTTTTCATTCGCTAAATGATTTTGTAATACATTTGACACTCTGAAATTTATGAAAATTTGCTTGTTTGACCCAAGGGGCAGAATACAAAAGAATTTGAACTGATGTGAAATGTTCAATGAATTGTAATTTATGGAGTTAACACAAGAACACAAAATTGAGACTTCGAAAAAAATCTAGAGTGAAATCCTGAATTTTGAGAAGCCGGTATATATTTTATACCACTGCCCCTATATGACATTTTTTCCATGTAGCTGCCAATTGTTAATTTTAAATTTTTAATCTTATTTTTCTTTGATCTGTGTCTATAGGAATGGTGCTTTAATATAGCTATGCAAATCTGAAGCCGAAAAGTAAAATTTCTCCAGAAATTTAAAATTTTAGAAATAAAATTATGTTTTTAGGCACTTTGATGATGCTGTTCTACTGAACATAATTTGAAAAAAGCCTTTTGAGAGTGATTTAAATTCAATATTGTTATTTTATCAAAAAATTTCACAAGTATAATGCTGCACACATGAATCATACTATCATTCTGTAATTGAACTAGCATAATGTTACAAGAAAATGTAACTCAGGCTGAAAAATAACAGGTTGAAAAATGAAACACTATGACTCAACTGAAAAATTAAAATTACATTTTTGAAGTTATCATATTTTATGCCTTAGATAATGTTTTGTCCAGCTTCTGTATGATAGCTTCCCAGCAATGCAGGTTTAGGGTTGCCATAAAATGGCAAGGAGAGATGGGGTTGCCACATTTGGCATATTTGGTTACAAAATTAGCAATATGATATAAACGGATGCATAACAGGACATCACGAGTTGCAGCATGGAGAATCTTGAGAGTGCGTTGAGTTCTGAGAACGACCAAACCAAGTCAGGAGTTTTACTCAAGTGCTTTGCCATGAAGCTGTCTTTACCATTATAGCCTGATGGCTGTGTTACTGATTGTTGTAGCATGTTTTTAGTAGTTTTTCAATGACTGTAAATGTGTCTTTGGAGCTGTCCAGAGTGATACTGGCTAATAAATTGTGTTTTCATTCTTTATCAAGTGTTGTCATTAATCACTTCAAATTGTACGAACCCATAAGGAATGCAACAACTGGTGTCAGAAGTGGGATTTGAGAGTGAATGCCAGTGACCCGCCTGCAGCAGAAAGCCATGGGAGAGAAATGAAGTTCATAGATTTCTTAGTAGCTGTAAAAGTTGGACAAAAAGAGCTGAAAGTTGGATATGAAGAGATGAAAGCCGAATAATAAGAAATAAAATTTGGGCAAGAAATAAGAGCTGGCCAAGAAAAGCTACAAGAGCAACTCCAGCAGATAAAAGCGGAGCTTACAAAAGAAACTAGAGTCACAAAAGAAGATGTAGAATGACAGAAGTGGCATCTGAAGAATCAAAGGATGGAGAATGGATGGATGAATTCTTATTACAACCCCACTGTGGCATCAATCACCTCTTTTCACTTTCACTGTATTCTCTTGAGTTTAGGAAAACATGAAGCGATGGGTGTCCTCGGGGGCTAACATGCCGCATTTAACCTCTACATTTGTGTAGCATTTTGGCGCCAGACAACAATTTTGAATTCGATGAGTTTTTCTCAGGGTAAAGATTAAAGTGGTGAAATTAAAATTTTAGCTGAAGAGAGATGAATGAAAACTCAACTGGTAGTAAGCAAAGTATAAAAAGAAACTAAAATACTTTTATTCAGTCTTAGCACAGGGTCATTAAACTCTTCATCCCCCATGAACATAATATTTAATCCTAAACAACTTGTAAATTAATTATAAACAACTGTATTATATAATGTCATTTATGATATAAATAAATTCTGTCCCCCCCTCCCAGAGTAGAGAAGGAGAAGCTTGGTGCTGCCGTCTATTGGCAAGGTACCCTTAACATGGGTGCTGGTATATATTACATATT